CGGTTTCACTTAACACTCATTTTGTTTAATGCTTGGTTTCTCAGGAATGAATTAAGAGCGCTAAGCGGGGGTTGCCTGTACAGTCTGGTCCATGGTAAGGTTGTTGGCAACTAAACCAGTGCCCCGACCTGAGCTAGCTTGGGTGAGGAGGTTGTGTGGACACACAACAGGACTAAAAACAAGATCTGTTAAAGGGTGGATGAGCTCCCTGTGAGCCAACGGCCATCCATACCCAGAGAAGAGATGGGTGCCACCAGGTCACTTTGCCCAAAGAATCACCAGTGATGCAGAGCGACTCAACTAACCTCATAAGGAGGGTTGTTACAGCATCTAAGGTGCCCCAAGGGTTGCAGCAGCCTCAGGACTGACTTGACTTGTAATCAAGAAATGAGTGAAAGCTAAGAGCTTTCCAAGGGGTGCCTTGAGTCTAATGAGGGGTGCTTTGAGACTAAAAAGGTTGAGGAATGCTGCCCTACAAGAATCTAGGAGTGCTGTCAGCCTATTTGTATAGAAGTTTTATTCAATGGGACTTGATTACTCCAGCACTGGAGATTTGTACACCTCTCTGTGGTAGCCTTGGGTAACAAGAGAAGAAGAAGCAGTTATGGTGAGAGGGTGAATATCAAGGCTCACTATGGCAGTCTACATACAATGGTAAGTATGTACCCACTCCAGAATTCAATAGTGTCTCTTAGTTACATCTCATGGGGTTGTGAAGATATTGCTACTTCCCCAAGCCTTCAGACTGGTTATGACAGCCCTGCCCACTTCCATGGGGTAATCTAAGCTCTGTAAGTATGCAGGAAAATCTGCCTTAAGAAGGCAGTACAGTGGTTTAATCAATGACAGGTGATCACCAATTGAACCTTCTTAGGAGGTGCTGGAACTTCTGGTACTGGGCTACCGAGCCTTCAAAACCAAATCAACCTCTAGTGTGCAGTAGTTTCCTTCACACTTGCCAGAAGGTCTCTGAAAAAATTTCTGTACCTTGAAGTTTGAATTGTGTAAACATAAGGAGAGTTCTTCTTTTCAAACTAAATTGTTTATCCCACTCTCTGTACAATCAGGGCTAAATTATTAGTATCTGAAAACGGTGCATATCCTGCCTACATCATCCACAATGGGTTGTTTGATTTTAGTCTCAGTTTATACGCACATTCCATAAAAGGAGTGTGTCCCTAAGTACTCTGGGAACACTGAGAAACACAACTCTTCAAAGAACCGCTTCTGCTTAGTGATTAACTGCTCAGTATCTAAAAACGTATCTCCAGTCCTTACAATTTCCCACCAGAGTTCTCCCAGTCTCTTTCAGGTCATAAACACAAATAGGATCTTTTAATAACTTCTGGAGACATGCCCGCATTCGCATTACTCTTCTGCCTGAGCAACGACAGCATTTACAATACCAATTTCCATTTAGAAACAAAAGGGAATAGTGTTTTGTTTTTTAAAGGAAGCCCTGAAAAAATCTAGAACTTTGGTACAATTGTTAAAGAAGCAGAAAGCAAATACCACTGTCTCACAGTTTTTAACAATTCATAAACCATAGCATTTAATTGTAAGGTCACATCACATCAGGTTGAACAATCCTTCAATAGTCCTGGTTTTAAGAGCCAAGATATATTAGTATTTTTATATTAAGCACTGGTTCTGGTAAATATTATGAGCCTTGATTTAATGCCCTTTGTCTTTCAATGAGACTTGTCTACACAATGCAAAGCAGTCCTCTGCAGAGACACACTGCTGCCAATGGAGACACACTGTGTCTGCAGAGCTTATTGGTGCAAGTGCAAGGCCATAGTAACATGGCTATATTACTCCCTGTTCAGGAGCCAGTGCTCTCAGAGTAGGTGCAGCATGTCCGAGCAGGGTGCTGCCTTGCATCATATTGATGTACCCTCAGTCTCCCAAGTGCCACTTTAAAAAAGTGCAACGTAAGTTCTTAAATTAGTTTGGTGCGTTTGAGAATTTTGCACCCTCCCATTCTTGTTATTTATATTATGTTACTTTCCTTTATAAAAACTATTATCAGGAATTCACTCACTGGAAATAAGAGCTTTTAAATTAAAACTGTATTTACTTATAAATATATCTGGTACCAGTGAAAAGTGTTATCTAACTAGTTATTCCAAATAAAAAGAAGATTTAAGGATGTGTCCATTAGTTTAATACTAATAAAATTCCCTAACCTACATTATCCCAGACAATCATCTTATACTTCACCCAGAGAAAACAGACTTCAGACCTGACTATACTAGATTTGCTCCATTCCAATGAAAACTCATGTGGTTGTCCAGTGGGGCCCAACATTTTACCAGGCATGCTACAAGTTAGTCTCGTACCCAGACACTCCCGTTCCCCTGCCTTATTTGCTCTGTTTTCTGCTCCCTGCCTTGTGCTCCCTGACCAATCTCCTGCTCTGTTTTCTGCTTCCTTTCGTGTACTTCCTGCCCCATCTGCTGCTGTTTTCTGCTTCTTGCCCTGTGTGCCACGGGGATGCCTCTCCCCTCCCCAGTCTTCCATGTGCCACACAAAGAAGTTTGTGACACGCAAGCTGCAGGGTGTCCACCCCTCCATTGTAATAGATCCAATGAGAGGCTGTTTGCAGCCACTGAAATGTTAATAAAGATGGAACAGATGTTTCAGCGGTAAGTACAAACACTAAATTGATTAGATATCCTAATTAATTTGCATATAACTGAACTGATTTAAGTTTGATCTAGCAATGACAAAGGCAGTACTGGTGAAGAATACTGAACTGTCTTATTATTACTGCAAAAAACTTTGCTGAGTCTATTTTTCATCACATCACTGAACAAAATCTATTAAAAATACACCTATTAAAAATAAACAACTTTACTGGCATTTTAGCCTCCAATAGTACACAGCAGTAGTCTGACTAGTAGCTGTTGGTCCTGGTCCTGGTCCTGGTCCTGGTCCTGGTCCTGGTCCTGGTCCTGGTCCTGCTGGGTCAGAGTCTGCAATATTTAGCTAGTATAAAAAAGAAATAAAAAAAATCTGTAATGCCACAAACCTAAACAATTACTTTAAGATGCTTTTAACTTAAGTTTCTTTTCATTCTCAGTTTTCTGTTTCAGTAGGTTGGTTTTCTTCTTAAATGCTTACTCCTTTTTGGTCGGTCCCCATGAGTCCCCTGCTACAGGGCCCAGGGTGTTTGCCTGCCCGCATCCACAGGACTTCAGGATTTGCTGTTGGCAGATAGATATTCTCCATTGTGTAACCCTGGGACTTGGCTGCCTCTGGTGCCATCTACAGGCAAGCTGGAGTTAGCAATGTAAATACCTTAAAAGTAGTATTGACAAATATTTCTTTTTTTAAAAACAAATTGACCTTAAAACCAAAGCCAAACAAGTTAGACTCAGGAATCGATTAAACTTAGCAGATTTGTATCGCATTTAATTCTTAGTTTCAACACAAAAGTTTTAAATCGCAATAAAAGAGCTGCCCATTTTTCCCTAGAAATACTAGGGAACGCTGGCTCAAATTCAGCTGCCCAGAGCAGGGGTACTCGCTGCTCCTGTAGTGTCACCTCCTGACAAGAGTGGTACAGGGAGTCCCTTCTTGAATGTTAGCTAGTCCCCAGCATGACTCCAGCTCTCCCCTGAGCTCACGTGTAATCCCCATTACTGTTAACAGGAGTTGCAGAGACAAGACTTAGAATCATGGAACTCAGAGAAGGAAAAACTGATTAGGTCATCAAATTAAACTACCCCTTTCCCCTTTAGTTCCTCCCCATCCCCACCCCAAACTAGTACAAATTGAAATGCCCTACAAAAGGACATTTTAACTCAGTGCTGAATTCCCCCCCAAATCTTTGTTTTCAGGATGCTTAGCCTGCTACACAACATAGTTCTGGAATAATACAATTAGATTCTCATCTAGATTTAAAGAACATGAAGAGGTGACTGGCTAAAGCTGAGATGTGTAAAGTGAAGCATTTACCTCTACTTTGGACTCATGGCATTTTGCTGGAGAGATTGAAGGGGGAAACTTAATGGAAAAATAGCCAAGTGTCAGCTGTTCTTTTACATTTCTTGGCTTTTTTGAAACATGATTTAAACAGAGTTTCCTGATTTTCTCTCCTTGTTGTTAGCTGTTGTAAAGTGTTGTAAAGTGTCATGTGGCATTAAAGAGTTGACACAGCATCCCAGATGTGACTCCATTTATTACCCTTACTACTGTTCTTACTTAAGCTATATATGATGCAATGAGTTTGCAGTGAACTTCACAGAAATTAAAAGATAAGTTTCTTGCCCTGAATCACTGCAGACGTGTTTTCAAAACAGGTGAATTGATCCCTGTACATAATTTGTATATTAATTAAAAGCATCTTGGGATACTTTAGAATGAAGGGCTCTAAATAAACAGGACATACAGTGTTTACATATTATGATTATTACTATTTGAAGACAAGTAAAAAGATGTCGAATGTTAAAGATAATTTTTTGCATGTAAATAGTGAGCATGTATCATCATGCTGAAATGGCAGCATTTTCTTCACCAAATCTAGAGTTTTGGAAATGCATGCAAATGTAAATTTGCTCCCATGAGCAGCCTCACTTAAGTCAATTAGACCATGCACAGAAGAATGTTAAGTGCATGAATATTTGCAGAATCAGACCTTTTGGCATCAAGGTCTAACGGTGAAGATGTGTATCATTAGCTGTCATCTTGTTGACATCAAATTGATAAAAACATATTTTCATCTTAGCTCAAAAATCACTTAGTCAACTAAAATTAGGTGTGAGGTACTCAAGGGGGTTTCCTGGTACTCTGTATGGCTCTCAACTTACTTACATTGTCTAAAACACTACACACATTCCTTTGGGATATAAATATCAATCTGATTAGCTAGCAGGTCTTGTCAGCTACAGTATCTTATTCTGTGAGGTATCTGAGCCATGACATGGTTCAAGGACTTCTGTAAAAGGTCTGGGAGGTCTTAACTAAAGGCTATATAAGTCATGATCACTTCCAAGCAAAGATATCAAGCCAAGAGCTCTTGGTAGATCTTTTATCTTTTTTCTTTGCTCTCAGCTTGAGAAAACAAAGCAGCAAGGTGAGTTGAGCTTTTGCAGTCATCACATCAACCCACTTAAAACACCCGCCTGGAAACAACTGAGAATCCAAAAGCTGTAGTTTTGTATAGGCTGCTTGATTTTTGTGCTCACATCATCACCCTGAAGATTCAGCTATGAAAGAAGAGCAAAGGAATCTAGTATGTGATCTGAAACACCAGTTGGACAAAAGACTCGTGAAAGGAATGAGTGCAACACAATACCTTTGAGAAGCAGCTTTCTTGGGCTGGACTAGGATCAGTGGTGCTGGTGCCTCCTGCAGATCTAAGGACGTGTGTCTGCCTTCAGCTGGCAGTGGCAGAGGCTGATACACCAAGATCCACTTGGCTTTCCCAGCTACAGTCCAGACAATCTTCCTGGACCAGCAGCCTCTGCTGAAAATATGACTAGCCTATCACCAGGCTTGTATTAACTCCAGCTAATTTTACTTTTGTTTTTTTCCTGTAGCTCTAACATGGCTCTTGCTGGTATCCTGACTGATGCTGAAATTACCACTGGCCTACAGAGCTGTCAAGGTAATGTTTATTTTTTAAAACCTTTTAAAAGCCTTTTTCATTCAGTGTCTGTTACCAGTTGTTCTCTGTGGGTTTGTTTGAAAATTGTCCATTTGAATTTCCAAAAAGAGAAGAGAACAGGATATATGCAAGTTATAACCTATACCAGTTGGGAACCTAATCCCACCTACTCTTATGTATGTGAATAATTTTAATGGAAGAAAACACTCTGAGGGGTTGAAATAGGGGCCTCCTTGAAGTTGATAATAAATCTCTCATTGACGTTAATAAGGCCAAGATTTCACTCATTGACTTCAGTAAAACTACTTGAGAATACGTGGCCAGGCAAACACATACCCTGGTATCATTTACATGGGTTTTGCATACAGTTGTAAACTTAACCGGGACCAGGAACAGACAGAGATGCAGCTATTTCGGGGTAGCTATTTGTAGTAGGTGGTTATTATTGTGTTTCATCACTAGATCATAGGATCATAGGAAAGTAGGATGGGAATGGACCTCAAGGTCACCTAGTCCAGCCCCCTGCTCAAGGCAGGATCATCCCCAACTGAACCACCCAGCCAAATGTCTGTCCAAACTCCTTTTCAAAATGTTTAGGAATGGAGATTCCACCACTTTTCTAGGTAGTCTGTTCCAATGCTTGGCCACCCTAAAAGTCAGAAAGTTCCTCCTAATCTCCAAGACAAATTTCCTCTGCTGCATCTTGAGGCCACTGCTCCTAGTCCTGTCCCCTATGGACACAGAGGAAGGCCCATCTCCATCCTCTCTGTAATTGCCCTTCAGGTAGTTGAAGATTGTTATTGCATGGAGAACAAAACAGCCTCTCTGCAGTTTGGTGAATGTATTAATAGATACACTGAAGCCCCTTTCTACATCCTTAATCTCTAACCATTCTTATCTATCCTCTCTCACCCATTTTGCTTCAGCTGCAGATACCTTTAATTACAAAACCTTTTTTGCCAAAGTGGGTCTGAACTCCAAGTCAAAAGACCAGCTGGCCAAAGTTTTTGGGATCCTAGACCAGGACAAGAGTGGCTTTATTGAGGAAGATGAACTGAAGTAAGTGGATCAAAACACTGAACAGCAAACAAGCTTGGATTTCACTGTCACAAAATGCACTGTGGGATAGTTTGTTCTGTCTGTTTGGATACTACAATGTAATGAAACACTTTTTTCCTTATTCATGCGTACACTGAAAACCACCAGAAAAATAGTGGATGAAAAACACTTGCTTTCCTTGTTCAATGTCTTGATTAGTGTCCACTCTAAAGAAAATCTGATAGGGAAATAAGTTTAGTAAAGAAAGCTCAGAAAGGCGGGAGCTCAAGAAGTCAGTTACCTAGCACTGAAAATAGTCTGTTCATATGAAGATAACTAACAGGTTTTACAAAATAAATCCAGCAATGCTGCTTGAGCTTGCATTTTGTATTATCAGAGTATTTAGCCCACTTTGAATTCTAATGGCTATTTCCTCATTCCATCACTGACCTTAAATCTTATCATATGGATCTCATTTTGAAATACAAAGTTAGAATAGTTAAACTTGTAGTACAGACATCAACAGTCTCAATTTCCAGAAGTAAAATTCTTGCCCATGGAAGCCAAGGAATTTGGTTTGCTATTGATTTCTCTGAACCAGGATGTCATTCCAGCACTTCTGTATATTTTGATGCAAACAGACTCTTTTCCCCATAATGCATTAACAATGAAGCTTCACTCCTTTTGATCCTTAGATTCTTAACTTTTCAGGTAGATGTGAAATCCTGTCACTACAGTAGCATGGACTGGAGTTTTGGTATTGACTTCAATAGATCCATGATTTCACACCAAGTGTTTTCCTTTACGTGCTGGAGGGTCCTGAGTACAGGATTGCAACTTAACAAATTGTAACAGTAATGCAGCGGATGGCTTTTCTGCACTAGGAGAATTTGACTGATTTGTCCACTTATCTTTGGTAGACTTTTCCTGCAGAATTTCTCTGCCAGTGCTAGAGCTCTCACTGATGCCGAGACCAAGGCTTTCCTGAAAGCGGGTGACAGTGATGGAGATGGTAAAATTGGAGTGGATGGTAAGAAACCCTTTTAAAATGGTGAATTGTTAAGTGTGTTGGAATCACATATTCCATCCCTTTAAATGGGTCAAAATCTACCAGCAGCATTTCCTCCCTAATGTCTAACACCAGAAAAAAAAGCAGTAGAAAAATAATTCTTAAGGTCAATGTCTCATATCAATTGTTTTTGATTATCAGAGAATAATCCCCTTTGGGTAGGGCTACTTGAAAAATAATCTAAGTTGGGTCCTGCCAGCACTTAAATTTGCAAGTAACTTTAAGTATATGTTTCAACTAAGTGAGACTTCAGTAGACTTCAGGCACCAGAGTTTAACAAAGTAATCTTGAAACTCCTGGGTTCCAGTCCCTGCTCCAAGGACTGTCTAGATATTTCACATTTATGTGTAAAATAAATCAGAGCAAGGATGGGACCCAAGACTGCTTCCTACCAGACGAGTAGGACCTTAGCCACAAGGCAATGGAGACATGCTTACTTCCATTCTCTCTCTGTGACCCAAAGGATCTTGAATTATTTTCTGCAGTGGCACAGCTTCAACAGGAAGGGTCAATATAAACTCCTGAGAAAAGCCTATGGCATGGTGGGTAGGGCACTCACAAAGAAGAGGGAACCTGTGAGTTTGAATCTTCTCAAGCAAAGAAGGGATGTTCCACCTCTATTATATTCAAACTCTTATTTTAAAGGAGGTGGGTGCAAGGAAGAAGGGGGAATCTTCCTCCTCTCAACATGTTTTAAAAGGAAGGAGTGAGCTTGCTTAATTTTTGAAAGAAAGAACATAGGGGCGTACCTCCAAGAGAGGGTTCCCCAAGGATACACATTCCTCCCTGCAGCCCTGAGTAAAGCACCTAAGCCCCAAAAAGAGGTGAGATTTAAGTCTTACCTGTGTTCAGTATTTCCTGCTGGCTAGCTGTAGATAGCATGCTGATCTTAGATTTCTTGCAGAGGATGGGTGCATAACACTCACTCTGCTCTGTGGAGGGGGCCAGTACGCCCAGTAAAAGAATCTGCAGGACAATTCCACTCTGCAAGCCAAGGCCTAAATCCTTTTTTTTGGTTCTAGCCCCACTGCATACATCTATCCAAGACTGGGACCATAATTTTACATGTGCGCAACAACTGTAATACTTTTCCAGTCTCACTGATTTTTCTGGTTTCTGAAATGTAGGCATTTCAATATGAACATGACCTGACCTGTCTTAGTAATCAATGTATAATGTGCTCACTTCAGGAATTATTTTTACAGGAAATTGAGTTAGTTTCCAATGCAACTCCTAAAGTGGGGGCAAGACACTTTTTTTTCTGACTCTAAGATAATCAAAGCTGCTTATTTTTTTCCAGAGTTCCAGGCCATGGTTAAATCTTAAAGAGGATTCAAAATGAAGACCAAGCTAACTGTACTGTAAACAATCTTTCTAATTGCAAATCTACTATTTATTTATGCATTTTATACAATGACAATGGCATTAACAGTTGCCAGTATATTCTTTCTTACTGGAAAATATGTGAACTTGCTATGTGCTATTTGAACATTACTGTCTGCTGTCTTCATTAAAAAGAAGCTACATCACTGGAACCTAGTCTGGTAATTAAAATAATTTGTAGACTTTGTGGTTTTGTTTCAGTAGATGAAAGTAAAATATATAACAAATGTGTAATTTAAAATGTTTCTATGGGCAGTCTTTCTTTAATATTTCCAAAAAAATGTAACTTTTAATGATAGTCCATGAAGCCAAAAGGGCAAGCCTCATTTGTATACCCAACTACCATTTACCTTAAATAAATGGTTTAATAAAACTCCTGGATATGCAAGCTGGGTGCAGTAACTAACAGTGGTGGAATTAGACATATTGTAGGGAAAGGGGGCTTCATGATCAAGATGTTTTGAGGCCATTTTTATTTATGTGACTATATTTTTCTGTTAACATGCTCAATAAGAAAATGCTAGCAAAATATGATAAATCTGTCAAGACTCTTAGCTTATAGCAATGTCTCATGTACAGAAATGGTAGGATCTGGCTCTGCACAAGTTACTCATTTCCTTTAACATAAAATCAGCTGAATCCAGTGTGCTTCTGCTATAGCAATAACATTGAAACAAACACTGTGGGTTTTGAGGAATATGGGTTCTTTGAGGAATAACCTACCTGCATGCCCACCTGATGGCACTATTGTTTCATTTAAAGGAAGATAAAGCATTGTTTTGCCTATCTGAAGTAAACTGAATAAGAATCACTCCTGTATGCTCCTTATCTCTTCTTATGACCTACCTTTGCTGGGTGAAAATCACCCCAGACAGAAGACCTGTGTATCACCGAAGTCCCACACTACCACGACACACATTAACTAAGTAAGCAAGAATTCTCTGAAGACTGGTGTGGAATATCTGTTCTGCAACTGAGATAATATGTACAGTACTGATAATTTCTTTATATTAACACCTATGTTATTAGTATAAGACCACTTATACTAATTTGTCTTCCAAAGTGCTTAACTTTTATTAACAGTCACATGATACACAGGAACAACCCTGGAAGCCATATCCTTCATTCCAGGCAATCAAAGAGGTAAATAACACTGTCCTTTTCACAGACCCATATACAAACTAGGCAGGGCTGTTAGGATTATCTATTATTAAGGTTGCCTGACACTTCCTATTATAAGGCTTTGTGTTCAGTTTTTTATGTTTCCAAGTTTTAACCATTTGAGATAAAATTTTCAGGGCAGGTGTGCCCCAAACTGGATTTCTTCGGGGAAATAAATCAAAAGTGTTCAGTCATTTACAGAAATGAGGTTAGGAAAAAGCTCATTGTTTTTCACATATACCAAAAGTATATGGAGCAGGGATTTGAAATTTGGCAGGAGGTTAGCCTTTGGGTCAGGGTTTTGCTTTTTGTCATTTGTCAAAAATTTCACTCTAATTTAGACAAATTATATAAGATCTTGAAAACCAGTAGCTGCCTAGGCTCAACATGCTAGAGTTTTCAAGCAAAACTCAAACTAGAGTTTTGAAATAAACTTCCTAAAAATTCTTTCTACATTGACTGCTTCAGCCCAGACTGCAGTGGGCAGAGCAACTATAGCAGTGGTTCTCAAACTCATTACAGTCAAAGGTAACTCGCCACCTGGATAGGGGAAATGAGGTTGATGTCATATATCAGACTTCAAAAAAGCCTTTGACCTGGTCTCCCACAAAATCCTCATGATTAAATTGGGAAAACGCGGCTTCAACTACTTTACAGTCCGGTGGCGAGGTAACTGGCTCCAAGGTAGGACCCAAGGGGTATTGACTGACGGAACTGAGTCACCATGGCGGAAGATGACCGGTGGCATCCCTCAGGGTTCAGTACTCGGACCAGTGCTCTTCAACACGTTCATCAACCATTTGGATTCCTGTATTATAAGCAAACTAGCAAAGTTCACTGATGACACTAAACTATGCGGAAGCGTGGTAATGCTTGAAGACAGGCTGGCAATACAGGCCAACCTGGACAGGCTCGTGATGACCTCAGCCTGATGCTGTTTAATACAGAAAAATGTTAAGTGCTCCATCTGGGGAAAAATAATCCATAACACACTTCCAGGCTCGGCAATGCTAAGCTTGCCAGCACCACAACTGAATGAGACCTGGATGTCATGATTGACAACAAAATTAACATGAGTCACCAATGCAATACCGTAGCCAATGAAATGCCATTTTAGTGCTGTCCAGAGCTAATCAAACACAGGCATGTATCTACCAAGGCATCTAGAGCAAGACAAAGGATGTCATCCTCCTGCTCCACTCACCTTTGGTGAGACTGCAACTTGAGTACTGCATCCAGTTCTGGGCACCACACTTCAAGAAGGATGTGGAAAAACTTGAGAGAGTCCAAAGGAGGGTCATGTGCATGATCAGAGGCCTACAGACCAGGTCATAGGAAGAGAGGTTGAAAGACTTGGGTCTGTTCAACCTAGAGAAGACTCAGAGGAAATTTGGTGGCAGCCTATAAGTATATCAGGTGTGTACATCAGGGCTTGAGGGAGCATCTATTCACCAAGGCCCCCCAGGAGAGGACAAGAAATAATGGGCACAAACTGATTAAAGATTGCTTCAGGCTAGACATAAGGAAAAACTTCTTTACAAGTTGAATGTTGAGGGTTTGGAACAGGCTCCCCGCAGAAGTGGCACAGTCTTCCACCCTGGTGATTTTCAAAAAGCATCTTGATGCCCATTTGCTGGGGTCATCTGATCCCAGCAGTTTTTCCTGCCCAAGTGCAGGGTGGCTGGACCCGATGATCTGTAAGGTCCCTTCCAGCGCCTAACAACTATGAAACTATAAAAGCATCCCTCATACAATGCAAACTTTCAGCTTTCACTCATTTTTGACTATGAAAAACCAATAGAGCAATGCTTCTGTTGCAAAGAGTTCAGAAAGACCACAATAGGTCAGAAGGTTTTTGACACTATGGATTTGAAATCTCTGGGTTTATCCTGTGAATCACACAAAAGTGTTTCCACACCTAACAGTGTTAATATTGCGTGGGATGCCTAAAAGGATCTTGCAGAACCCTGGCTGAAAAATCAGTGAACTATAGGCTACTATACGCCATGCAGTTGCTGGGTATCAGAAATGAAAGTAAGAGAGAGTCAGTCTCTCTTCTGCAACTTTGGCCCCTATGAAGCCAGAAGGAATTCCATCAAGCCTGTCTCTTTTCATCAGGGAAGAAGAAAGAGATTACCCACATAGCTGTTTTTATATGAACAAGGGATTCAGGTAGTAGGGTGATGAGGGTCACATAAGAACTCTGATGCACAATTAATCTCATAGCCTTTTATCCTGCATTATCATCAGCAACTCAGAAGTAGAGAAAATAGACGCAGAGGGTGCATTTACATGTTCATTAATGTGCCATAATTACAGTGCATTAAGTTTACTACCTGTTAGTACGAGGTATTAACTAAATGTGCCATAATTGCACTACTGCGCGTTAGTGCAGATGAATGCTTTTTTAGCCATGTTAATGCACTTTAGACTAAATCTACTGCACGTTAGTGCATTAGCATGGGTTTTCCCCACTGTGCTAATGTGCAGTAGATTTAGTCTAATGTGCTCAAAGTGTCTTGTGAAGAAGTACCCAGAGACATCCAGTCACCTGTTAAAGACCACACAACTAATTAGGAATAGACCTTGTAACCAAGAACCCAGAGCTCTCAATCCTAGGAAGACTGTTCTAAGTGCTTAATTATTTGCATTTATTTCCACATAGATTATTGGGTTTGCTATATACAAATCTGAGACAGTTTCACCACTTACCTTTCCATTAAGCACTGTAAAAAATTCATGACAAGACAGGTCTGGTATCAGCTCCAGGGATCATTCCAGCATGTTAAGAAGAGCCTGCAACTAGCGATTTTTTCAGATCTTTTTTTTCCCTTGCTTTGTACTTAGCAGAGAACTTATTTTATTAGTTTTTACAAGTATGGACATATGAACAATGTGTCATGCAATAGAAGGGAGCGGACTTCACCATCCAACAGCTGCTCCATGGTAACTGCCTATGTGCCTGCTCTTGTCCTAGGGTACATGAAAGCTAAGTTTAGCTCTCAATTAAATAGCAGTTTACATTACTATTTAAGATCAACCCAAAGGTCACTGTCAACTAGCCTGAGCTGACATCAGCAAGTTACCTTGCAGCCACTGTACATTGTGCTCCATGGTCACAGGGCAAAGTCCTTCTAAAAATTAATGTACAGTACTTACATCCCCTCCTGTGTTTGTCTCTAATTAGTGGCAACTGAGACAGGAAGTGGGGTGTAAAATGAGGATGAGGAAGTTGTGGTATTGCTATTAAAGGATTCTTTGTACTTGCAGCTTGCAATACTTGCAATTGTAAGATGTGAACAAACCGGAGGATGGGAAGACTACAGGGCAACTCAATCTTAGGCCCTGAGGCTCCACAGAACATTCAGGGGAGGGCTGGAAGATTGCTCAAAATCAATGTCGATGGTTAGCATGTAGAGGCTTGAAGGCAATCCTAAATAGTAGTATAGGTATGCCAAAAGAAGAGTTAAATTGATGCAATTTAGCTTCCACCTAGCACATAAGCAGTTACAGTGGAATAGCTTTCACATGACAATGCCCAAGTCCCTTTTAATCTTGCAGTATCAGAAAATTGTTTTCCTATGTCCATACCCAAAGATGATCTGTTTCTCTTTTCATTCTGAAACCTGATAATTACTCTGAAATCTATATTAGATCTTACCTTCTGCCTTAAGAGACCTCCCCCAGTTAACTCTTTTTGCAAGGAACTCTGCATAAGCAGACTCCTGAGTTCAGATGGAAACCTACTCAAGTTAAGAGGGCTCTGCATGTGTCCACATATGTCAGGATCTTTCAGGATTAGGACCACAGACCCCGATTCAGCAAAGAATTTTAAATCACCCTTATACCCACCCCCAACTTAAATGTTTCTTAACTTGCTCTGCTATGGGACTTTAGCCCATTTACCCTTTATCTAGATGACCACCTCTGTTAAGCAAGCACTTTTTGAGTGAAATTATACTCATTTGAGGTCTGAGCTGTTCTCTTTGAAGCCAGTGGGTTTTTGCTATTGATTGAAATGGGAATAGGATGGGTTTCTAGATAAGGAAATGTCTAGAACCACCTCAGAAGCATTTGCATTATTAGACTGCTGTTCTCTGCACTGATGGTCATTGTGAGATGCAACTGTTTAGTGAAGGATGCCAAATCACCTGTAAGAAGCAACTTTTACATATTGAAGAAGGTAGTATCCATGTTCTTAAACAGCACCTAAACCTAAGGGCAACATTATTGTTAAAATACAGGGAGAAAAACCTGAATAATTCAGGGATGTAAAGATCACTCTACCTGATTATGCTGCTGACAGCAACCAGAAACATCTTAGGCGATTATGTGAAGCGTCAGGGTCATAAGATAGTGTTACTGAGTCCTGGTGACACTAGACAATGTGTTTAATGATAATCATATAGCATATCAAATGTTAGCAGAGACTCAGAGATGGCACCTTTTATTCCTTCAGGTGTTTTAACTACATATTTTTATACCACTTGAGCTTATTTTAGTGCAAAAGCACTCCGGATAGCTAAGTCTTTAGGAATTAATTCTCATACAGTTCATTACAGTATTTACTCGTCGTTATTTTCAGTATGAAAAATAAATGATTTACCAGGAATGGGAAGGTACCTAACATACTTTCCCTAAAGCAGAATTGCCGGAGTGAAATCTTAAATCTTTAATTTTGGAAATTGCAGTTCTACAGATTTAATTCAACTTCTGTTGTATCCTCCAAAATCTCATCCAATTGTTCAGATGGGTGAAGTCCTCAACCCCTAGTGGTCACTGGAATTTTTGCCATTGACTTTTCTGGCACTGTAATTTGACTCTTGATTCTTAAGTGAAGCAGCATGAGAAACAGGGCAGAAAAATCAAATATAAAATAATGTGCTCCAAACCATCTGTTATATTTCCTTCCCCTGTTATGTTGGAAGACCAAACCCCAGGTTATTTAAAGGATTTTTGGACACAACCTGGATGAGATTTGGTACTTATTTTTTTTTTACAATGGAAGTGGATGCCTAGGAGAAAGCTTGCAGTCACATATCATGCAGTCAGCTGATGATAGATCTTAGTTATCATTTACACTTAGCCCTCTTTATACTGTAAATTATAGTCATATTCAATTTAAGATGCCTTTATGCTGTCAGAGCAGAGTAAATGAGCACAAGGAACCAACGGTTGTTGAGGTCCCACTCTAGTCACTTCCACACTGGTGAGAAAGGGAGAACATTGAGGGTGATGATACAACATCTCCAGCTCTGACATTAACAGAGTGGAAAGATGGCATTGCATAGTTTTTAGAACTGCTGTGAGAGCATCCCTTTACAGTTGTAGTAGGTCTCAGGTTAACACTTCTTCTCTAGTCTCACCTGAGACTACCACTGAAACTTCTTGTTGTACCTGCTTGAGCTAGTATCCTCAACTCACTGTCACTGCTAATTAACTCTTTAAATTATAGTAAACAAAAACCAAAGAGCACAGGAGCAGCTTAACAAATATCAATGTTTTACAGTGATGCCAGTTCTTGTCTGGTTTATTAGAAGTAAACGGTATTTAATTAGGAAATAAGCCTATAAATATTTTAGTTAGCTATTCTTGAATACTCAGTGTTAGACTAAACAGAAAAGAGATTTATTTCATGGTTAAACCTAGAAGACTCCTGGCAAAAACCGCACAATATGAAATGTCTCATACTTATCTGAATTGCACCTTTCAATTTCATTCTGAAAGGCTCAAACCAAAAAAGCATCTTTGCTATTTTTTTTCAAAAGCACCATGCTTAAATAGGTACAGACAGTAAAACTTGTGGAGGATATAGTGTGTAAGTATGTAACTCTTAAAACCCCCCAACCTAATGATACTTTGAGATATCCTTAGCAATGCAAAGAAATAGCTCATAGTTCATTAATTGCTTTATGGAATTAAGCTGCATGTCAGCCCAGCAGTTCTGAAGATAACAGGATACACAGGTCTGAAGCCACATTCATTAGATTGCTACTTATTACAATGTTACACTGTTACAGATATTATTACTTATTTTAAGAGTCATGTGCACATTCTTTACTATTAAATTGGCTGCATATTTAATTTTAGCGGATTATTTCCTTCCTTTGTTAGCTGTGTTTATAAACATACAACAATACTAAAGCATAAGCAAATGGGTTAACAAAAATGCTTTGTAGTGTGAAAAGCAACTTAGTTAAGTATTGTGAAGTAGTTTATTTAATTAAAATATCCCTTTATGTGATACACTCATCCCTGATGATTTCATTGTAACTATAGCAGAGGGAAAGCTGTACTTTGGATGAAGAGTATCATTAATAAATAAATAAATACCAGTAACTCTAGATTTTCACCTGTATCCTTATACAGTGACATCAACTTCATTCTGAAATTCAGCTCTTTTAAGCTTTTGTAACCCATCTTTCAGCTTGGATTAGAATCACTTTTGGTCTTGGTGTTGAATTTCAAGCATTAAAGAACCCCATCCTTACTTGTTACAGTCAATTTACAGTGGGTGTTACCTCACTTTTATTTTTTTATCATTTATTATACTACTTAATTCAATTAAATTATCATACTAAGAAATATTTTGGCAAGGTTCAGCCCACAGTATGGTTGCTTGTCATTTAGCAACATCAGCACAAATCCTGTTGAATCAGTATCAGCTGAGGTATTCTCCTTTGAAGTCAGTGGAGTTATACCACCTTAGAAGTGACCTTTCTTGAACAAATAGTGTAATGATCCCTATCCAATAATATTTTATTAGATATTTTGAGCCATCTATTTAGCTTGTGGGAAAAGTAGTTACTCAATTTATACCAGCCTTCTCTATTAAAAAAGATTGATCTTTTTATCACCTATGTAAAAGAGGCAGTTAAAATTAAATATCTAATTAGTGAATACAGTTGCCTTTGTCATACAAAATGTGTGGCAATAAAGGGAAATAAACTATGAAATGAGAACTACTTTTTCATTGGTAATGCTTTATATTTAATTATTCCAAATTTGCCTACATAGAAACTTGTGGGTTTGATATCCTCTTACCTTGTAGATTAATAGGGTAAATCCACAGTTACTCCAGTGTGAAAAGAGGAACCAGGCCCAGATTTATTACAACTCATCTCTAGTACATAAGTGATTACCTTTATCTACTATTACTTATATTTTTACAGTATACAGATACTATCCAGTACCATTACCATGGACACACATCAGGAAATAGTTCTGTTTTTGTCCTGAAACCCTTAGTGCATCAATAGTCCTTACTCACATAAATTGAATGTTACAGTCTGAACTGCATAGATCCTGTTTTTTTGTTTGAGAGTGTTCTTTTAAATACTAATGTTCTTGAACATTCATATACACTCAAAACACTGATGATGTGTGACTGCAATTTTAATATCACATTTAAAAACATATTTTCTGGTATAATATGTATATGTTTGTCTCTGTACTAAACAAGATCTTATCTGCTCTATGTAAAATAAGTATACCATTAATTTCATTTATTTAAAATGACTTAAATATAGATTACTCAAGATAGACTATCTGAATGATCTATTATCTTGAAGTGTAGATAACCTGGTTAGATTTACTCTAGTTGCTACTTTTTACTGTTGTTGTTCACTTTGATTTCTTTTCTGTCTCTTTCCAGGGATAGCTTTGTAATTTAGGAAATGGTCTGGAAAATCAAGCTTGCTGTAGAAGGATCCCTGCAAACAATATCTTGCATTCCTTGTTTAGTGACAAGTTTTCTTTGTCTGACTGACACATTGTCACTTCAGATCTTTCATCTCAAACTGCCCTGACAACCCTGAAGGCTCAATAGACTCAGGGGAACCAAAGTGGCTTTTCTTCTCAGGGGTTTCACTGCCGGGATTATTTCCTGTGGACAGTTTTAAAGCTCTTGGGAAACCCTCTGGCATCCTTGGAGTTTATCGAACTATGTCTTGTTGGCAGAGTTGAACACTTAATTACATATGTGTGAATTTATTAAAATATTGCTGTTCTTGTCTATACTCTCTTGGGATATAAATAGACAGAAAAGGTTAATTAGTTAGGCAAGAAATGTGAGCTAGGTCTCAAATCAAGCATTTGATCCATGAAACAGTAACCTGAGTAGTGGTGATTGTCACCTTTTGAATCCTTTATAAAGCAGGCTGGCAAACCAGAGCCGGTACTTCTGTATTGCCTGGTATCTTGTCAGCTACCTTTCCTTCACTTACTTGAGAAAACCAAAAAGGTGAGCAGCCAGCTAGAGATCAGACAGCAGAATCTCCTCTGCAGAGTTGATCCAACCGTAAGTATGGTAGATGCTGGTCTGTGAAGTTTAGTTTACTCTCTGTCACACACAGATCGAGTTTACATAGATTAGTTATCAGTTTTCTTTTTATTCTTCAGACTTGATACTGGGGGGATTTTTCTTCTCTGCATGCCCAATTATCCTTCACTGCTAAATGCCAGACATTTCAACAGATTGATGATTAGCTTACTTTACCTGTTAAGAGAGTCCCAAAATGATCTGACATGCTCAAAGCAGGTAATAGGTTAAAAAAGCATCACTGACATTAAGTATCTGAGCACACTAATTTAAGAAGGATATGTTGTCTGTTTGCATTGGTATTTTTTTAAAAAAGAACATACAAGGGCTTTCACTTCTGTGGAAATCTCTATTTTCTACTTACTAATTAGAGTGACCTCCCTTAAAATGACTTCTTACGTTATTTAATGCGAATAGTCTTGTTTTGCTAGGGGATGTATTTACTTCTGCATGTACTTGCATTTCACCAGCCTGCAATGCATTCTTTTTGAACAGGTTCAACATGAGTATGACTGACTTTCTAAGCCCTTCTGATATTGCTGCTGCCCTGCGGGACTGCCAAGGTAAAAAAAAAATCACAGATTAACATGTATCTAACCTTTGGTACAATAGGCAGAGGACTTAACTCTTCAAAAATATTGAAGGTATGCTCCAAGAGATAGTGTAGTAGAGAAAGGATATTTCCTGTTTTCTGTTTGGCTGAATGAATGTGTTTATGACTGTGTAATATTTCAGGAGAGCTGAGTTTGTATCTTATCCATGTGTGAATTTTTTAAGAAGTTAATTTTTGTACTGTAAGATTAATTAAGCTATCATGATGCCTAGATCTTTTTGTATGAGCAGCCTTTTCTTCACTGCTGTTTACACTGAAACCAATAAAGATGCAATTAAAATAGTAAAGTAATCTGTTCAGGAATAAGAACTGAACTGATCCGTGTCTTTATTATTTTTATTTTTAGCTCCAGATTCCTTCAGTCACAAAAAATTCTTTCAGATAAGCGGGATGTCCAAAAAGAGTAGCAGCCAGCTCAAGGAAATCTTCCGGGTCCTAGATAATGATCAAAGCGGCTTTATTGAGGAAGATGAGCTCAAGTAAGAGTTTTCTCCATCATCTTGATTAGTAAGGTTGTTAAATGGGTCAACATTTCCTTGTTTCCAAAACTATCTAAGAGCAGGTCATAGAATCATAGAATCAATGAGTGGGAAGGGACCTAGACAGATCACCTAGTCCTACCCCCTGCCATGGGCAGGAAGAAGCACTGGGGGTGGCAGGGGTCATAAGACCCCAGCCAGGTGCCTATCCAGTCTCCTCTTGAAAATTTCCAGGGAAGGTGAGAGCATCACCTCTCTGGGCAGCCTATTCCAGGCTCTGGCCACCCTTACAGTGAAGTAGTTCTTCCTAATATCCAACCTAAACCTATCCTCCCTCAGCTTGTGGCCATTGTTCCTGTTGACTCCAAGGGGGGCCCTGGTGAACAGACTTCCCCCGAGTCCCTGCTGGTGGCCCCTGATAAAGTTGTAGGCAGCCACAAGATCCCCCCCTCAGTCTCCTCTTGTGGAGACTGAAGAGATTCAGGTCCCTCAGCCTCTCCTGATAGGGATGGCCACAGAGGCCCTCAACCATATGAGTGGCCTCCTCTGGACCCTCTCCAGGTTCTCCACATCCTTCTTGAAGTGCGGCTTAAGTGCATTTATGGCAAACCTTTAAATTGATTTTGAAAGTCCTGTAGAGGTTGATCGTTAAAGAGAAAAGACTAAGGAATAAAACCCCATGCTTAAAGCCAATAATAGGTATACATAAGCAACACTATCTGGGGTTGCGCTTTGGTAGAGTGCACAATTAAAGATCTCAGAGCTGGAAGTATCAACCAAGAAAAAAGTAGCCTCTTTTTGGGGTGCACTTGGGTGCATGGAACAAACAATGTGTTTAAATAAAATGTTCAGCTTGATCATGTGACAACCATAAAAAAACAATATTGTTCAGAAATGACAACCAAGGGTTTTTTCTCTAGGTATTTTCTCCAGAGGTTTGAGTCTGGAGCCAGAGTGTTAACTGCCTCAGAAACCAAGACTTTTCTGGCAGCTGCAGATCACGATGGGGATGGCAAAATTGGGACTGAAGGTATTTAGAATGACACCACAACAGAAAAATAGATCTGAAAGAGATGTCAACACATTATCAAGTCTAACACACCCCCACCCCCCATAAAGCAGAGTAATTTGTTTAAGCCATCCCAGGCAAATTCTGAATTAATCTGCAGTTATACACTTCCAGTGATGGAAATTCCACAACATAAGTAATCTGCTGAGATTTTAAACTATCCCCACAGTTAGAAAGTAATGTATGGCATTCTCCCTGACTACCAGAAGAAACATGTATCAGTAGAAAGCAACATTTCCTGTGGCCATGAACAAGGTTAGATCTTTTGCCTGAGGGCCAAGAGTGGGAAACCATTGATTCTGAAATGCTCTAAATGAACTAAATTTAAATATACATTCACAAATTGACAGATTGTTAAGATCAACATGGGCCATTGTGATCATCAGGTTCTCCCTCCATAGACCACAAACTATACAGGACTTCTCTCTATTAATTCCTGATTCAACTTTAGTAGTTTGAACTAAAGCATGTTTTTAAAAAGATCCAGTCTTCACCTACACATTTTCAGTAATGCAAAAGCTATCACGATACTTGGTAAATTGTTCCTGTGTGTCTACACATGCTATTAATTCAACTGAATAAACTCTGGCACAGTTTGCACTACAGTTTATTGCTCCCAGGTGCCGTGTTTGCAACCGCACCCAGGACCACTGCATGTTGAGCTGGGTGCAGACCAGCCCTGGATGGCCAGGGGCCCCAGGGGTCAGCCTGCCAGCTAGGGGCTGCTCCGACCCACCTCAATGTGTTGTGGAGGGGCTGGCTGGGGCATGACGGTGCTCCAGTGTGGGGATAGCCAGCAGGTTGCCCCTGTACTGAAGCACCCTCATGCCCTAGCCAGCCCCATCTGCATCTACACATGCGCTACAGCGGAGAAAATAACTCCACCGTAGCACAGTACTTGCGACTGGCCGTACTAGCCTATGGTGGAGTTACTACATTTACTGTGTACTAATAGCACATGTAGCTAGTGGTATTTTACTGTGGAGCTAATTAGGCAACTCCACAGTAAATGTCTCATGTAGATGACCTGTATGACAACCTAAATAAATAGTCTTTCACAGGCAGGCATATTTTCCAATCGTTGATGGTTCTTGTGGCTGTTCTCTGAACCATCTCCAGTGTTTCAATTCTTTTTGAACAGTGGGCAACAGGACTAGACAGAGTGTTCTGACACTTTAGTGCCAAATACAGAGGTAACATAGCTTTCCTGACCCTACTCAATCTGTCCATTTAAACATCCAATGATTGTAGTAGCTGTTTTGCCACAGCATATGACTAGAAACTCACATTCAACTGAGTTCTCCTTACAAGTCCACATGGCTTTTTCAGAGTCCCTGAAAATGCATATAGCTGCGCCCAGTTTATGAAATGGTTCAGATTACTGAATATCGCTGACATGCCTCTTTATTTAAAACTCTTCCAATTGCTGTTATCCGCAAACTTAATCAGTAATTAGTTCATATTTTTCCAGTACATAGATAACACTTTAAAATAGCATAAGGCCAAGAACTGATCTGTGAAAAATGCAACAAAAACATATATTTGATTAGAATTCTCTGTTTCTGATTACTCTGAGACCAGCTTTCAGTGCATGGGGTGCCATGTTGATTTTTGGGTTGTCTTAGTTTAAATAATAAAGATGACATGCAGTCCCAAGTCAAATGCTATATAGATGTCTAAGTATATTACATCCACACTCTTACTTTTCAAACCAAGCTTGTAATTTCATCAACAATTGTTTTAAGTTAATTTGACATGACCGTTTTCCATAAAACCATGCTGACTGGCATTAATATTACCTTTAAGTCCCACATCAGCTATTCTGTTATTTTGACCAGAACTACTGTCAGGATGACAGGCCCTACATGACCCACTTTTTTCTTTATCCCACTTAAACACGGTCCTAACTTTATCTTTCCCCCAGTTCTCTGGAACTTCCCCGGTGTTCCAAGAACTGAAAATCAATATTAATTGTTCAGAGAATTTTCCACCAGCTCTTATAAAACTTTTGCATGCAAGTTATCTGGAATTGTGGATTTGAAAAATATCTAGGTTTGGTAGCTCCTGATCAACATAATTCTTAGTTGTTGTAGGAGGGGAAAATATATAATCACCATTCTTTGATACGAATACACTACTTTCACAACAACAAAAGCAAACATATTGAACACTTCTGCCTTTTCTACATTATTATTCCTAATTCAACCCTGTGAGATGGATGAACCAATTTTGGGGTTTTTTAAAACCACTTAAATGCCCTGGTTTCAAAAGTTAATCTCAAGCACATATGCGGTTTGTTTCCTTCTTTGGTAAGAACAAATGAAAAAAAAGTGATAAAAAGAGTAAATAAGGAGAGGATCATTTTAATAATGTTAAATACATTACAAATACTATATAGAGAACACTTATTTGGATCAGCCTCACTCTTACGTGCTCCAGAAGTCCCCAAAAATCCTTTAATAAGCAAACAACCAAAAAACCAACTCACAATGGGCCCTTTGGAAAAAAAAGTGTTGGTTTAAACTACAGAAAGATGGGTATATGTGGTTGGTTTGGTGAACCTAAAACCAGTAAAAGGGGCTTTAAAAACCCTGTATTCCTACCATGAGGTCCATAATATATAACAAACAATAAAGGGATGGATGTTTTCATGGATGTATTTAATCTGCACTGGCTTGAGAAAAACTTAGGTTTCTTTCTTTCACTTGATTACTTTATGTTCCTTCCTTTTTCAAGTCTCAATAAGGCAGTAATATTATTTTTTGTTTTTTGATATCCTGTTCTTATTGATGCTGCTAATTAAATATGCACTATTCTTTTGTAGAATTCCAGGAAATGGTGCTGTCCTAAAGGCAACAGAGAAAGGCAGAGGAGACTAATCTACTAGAGTTACTAAAAAAACCTTTCAATTCAGGGAGTCCCTTGTTTATTTATTCATCTTTATAGTGTCTGTTATTTGTTTATTGTTTATCAAAGCACCAATTAATAATGTTTTTGATAGTGTGAATCATTTTACCATGTTCTAACAATATATTTCAGCAGACACTGCCCTTAAAAACATCCAATAAAAATAAATTTATCATCATGTACTGTTGCCTGTGTCTATTCTTTCCACTAAGCTGGAACATGTGTAAGTACTTAACCTAAAAGTGTTTAATCTCTGAAAGACCTTGATCCATCCAGCCGTCCATATGTGCCTCTTTTAAGAAATCCTTGCACCTCTTTTTTCTGAAGTCAGAGGCAATTCTGCCTGGGAACAGTTTGCTGGATCATGCCCAAAATTCCCAACAAACTCTTGATGTGCCAGAGATTAAGCCCTGCACAAAGGCAGGTGGGGAGGGGTAAAAAACTATAATTGCTTTCCTGCTGAAAGCACTGAGAGACTTTGTCTAAGGCAGGGCTGTCCAGCCCCTCAGAGGCTAGGGGCAGCACCCCACGAGCTGCACTGTGGGGGGACCCACACGCCAGCTGTACTAGCGTGGACAGCCCCCTTCCCTGCTCCACTGTGCACACAGGTAGTCCCTGTGAATTGCTGCACCATGCGTCTGCACAGGTGGCCACCCCACAACACTCCACCATGTGTGCAGCAGATGAATGCCCCTTCCCTCTCTCCCCCACTCTTCTTCACACCTGGGCAGCTTCCCCACCATTCATGCCCTTAGGCAGCCACCCCTCTCCAACTCACCACCTGCATGTTGTGCCACCCCCTGGGGCAGGCACAGGAAGCAGGAACCAGAAGCGAAGCCCAGAGCCCCTGGCCTGGACCATAAAAATTACACTTTATATACAGGATTGGATTGTCTTATAATCAGGCTCCTGACAATATTGACATTTGTACTCGCAGGGTTTTTATGCATGCAGTAAAAATACCAGATCAGACATTTTTTTTCCAGTGAGGTTTTTATTTTAGTGCATTTAATCTTTTGGGTCCTTTCCCTGACCATTTGTACCCCTGTGGGATTTTGTAATAGCAGTTCAAGGGTTTGATTTGTAGTCATTTGACTTTTATTCAGGGAAAAAGCTGTTTTTCATAAAATTGAACTAAAAAATGTGGAGTCAACTTATATGTGGGATCAATCAGAACAATATGATAATGTAGGTAAAACACATTCTCCCACAGAAGGGAGGAAGTTAGAAGTAAACCTCCACAGACTTGAGGCTACTGAGAAGGCACATGTTGTGAGACCTTTAAAACCACGTAGAAGGCAGTAGTCCGTCCAAATCCACAGATATCATAGGATGTGCAAAGACAACACACAGATAGATAAATCCAGATTATAGCCTTAGGTGCTATTAGCTCAAGATAGTAGAGTCCCGTTACCTCCCCAGTAATGGGTACCCTCAAGGGAGAGGGACTGAATGTGTGGAGGAGGGACTTACTGGAATGAATGATAACTGGGCTCCTGCAGACCAATCATCAAACACGTTGAAACACTACAACATCCAGAAATGACCTCCTGAACACCTACTGTTTTATATCCTGTTAGAAAAAAAACCCTCTTAGGAACAAACAAATGGAAAACAGGTGAATGTAATGCTTTCATTTATATTTATAACTTTACATTGCTGCTGCAAGGTATAGCAATTTTCCTTCAGACTTAACCTACAAATCTTTGTTTCCATCCCTTACTCAAAAGCTTGATACCCAAAACCAGTACAAGAGTAGCAGCCAAATTCTAGCTTTAGTCATATCCTTGAAGCTTTAGTGGATTCTGACATCAGCAGCTATACTGTCACATTACATAATTATACTAATACAAAAAATGTGCAGACCTTGCTGCAGGTGAAATCTTGCCCCCAATAAGGTCAAACACATTATATTTACAACAGAAACAGTATTAGAAGGTTCTTAACACATTCAATATTTATTAGCAGCTATGGAGGTTGAAGGCATGCAGCACTTCCCAGCAAAGAGTGGGTACCTAGTTTCTGAAACAACTTTAATTGACTAACAACACAGAACTTGCCTTTCAACCAGCAAAACTAGAAACCGTTAACCGGATCTGGACTGGCTCATTGATAGTCACTGATGGATGTGTGCTCTCACTAACTTTATAGGAAATTCCAACAACTGGGTCTCATTCTGCAGCCACTATGCATTCAGAATTATCCCTACATGCAGAAGGCTCTCTGTGTATGTGATGGGTACATGACAGATTCAAAGTTGGAAAATAAAACTGAAGACATTTACTATATCCAATGTGCACATCATATACCATGTCATTTAGCATGTGGGTATGTACTTTCACTGAAGATAATGAGTATTCAGTTTCTATGACATATCTATTTTTAATGAATGGGACAAGAGTAAGTTGTGTATTAATCACATGTCTGCAATACAAAGGATTTCAATAGATGAAGTGCTAATGACAACAAGATTATTACTGATTACTGTAACAGATATAAATTAATAGCCTTTCAAGGGAAAATGACAATTTTCAATGACATAAGAACATTTACTCACGAGACAACAAATTATTAAATAAAAATATATTTTGAAAAGGAAAAAAGAAGGAAAATGTTGATTCCAGCAGGGACCTGAGCAGCACTACTCCAACATTCTACTTTCTGCTGTGCTATTTATGCTACATGACCTTAACCAAACCTTTCTATGCCTCAGCTTCCCTACCCGTAAACAGCTGTGAAATTAGAAAAGAACAAAAAAAAAGCTAATGATATAAACAAATAGCAGTGCCTAATCTGCTTGGTATGCCAGAACAAAGCATATTTTCTCATATCATAACTGTCTCTTTCCTTTCTGGCTTTTATCACCACTGAAACTGTTAGTAAGGGTGACATTTAAATTAATTAATTGTCAGAGATGATGCACTAACTCTCCAGACTCAGGTATGAAACAACACATTGGTTCCTTTACTAACACTAACTAAACAATCTTAAACATTGACAGTTTTATATATGTATCCACAGTATGGATTACTACTATTATTGCAAAGACATATGGTTATTCTAGGTCCCTAAATTTTATGTTGATGGCTTATGAGTCTTTGGTGGCACTGATTATAAAAGATCCATATTTTTGGCAGAAATATTTTTACCTCATTGTCTTACAAGATTTCTATTTTTTCTGATTCAGCAAAGTATTCAAGTTCATGCTTATATACATCCCTACTGCCAAAGTACTTAAGCAGATATTTACATACTTTTATCTCAACAGGATTTCATTTCAGCACAAGTTTAAACTGAAGCACAAGCTGAAGTACTTTATTCACTCAGAGCCTCATTCTGTTTATGTACAGTGTAAAATGTGGCGAAGTAATTTAAAGGCTCAGCCTTGTACCATGGAGTGAGCATTGTATTAGGACACAGGACCTGAATCCAGGTGTGTAAACTAAAACAATCCTTTACTAACCTAGTTGTAGTTAGCTGCTTATTAAAGGAAAACAATAAAATATTAATGGTTTCACACAATTGGGAGGGGGTCAAAACTTGGAAAGAGGTTATATATTACAAACAATACTATTAGCAAATCCTAATAAAGACTATAAATCGGGGTGCTCAAACCCCATGCCACCTGCCAGATCTGGCCCGTGGGGCTCCCCAAGCATCCTGAAATTTGGCAGGCAGGAGTGGTGGCAGTTAACACTGCCAGCCTCCCCTCACTGCCAAATTTCTGAGCCCTGTGGGCCAGATGACATACATGTGGGTTCCCTCCAGCAAATAGGGAGCTGGTACTGGAGCAATGGGCTCAATATGACATGTGCAGGGCCAGGGTCAGGGTGTGGGCCACATCTGGTGCACATGTGGCTGGGGCCCAGTCTAGTGCATAAAGGACTAGAGCCTGATCCAGCATGAGCAGGACCAGGGCCCAATCCAACATACGTGGGGCCAAGGTGGTGGGACCCAAATCAGCATGCATGGGATAGGGGCTGGGGCCTGAGAAAGGGCTTTGGGCCCAATTCAACATATACAGGATTGGGACAGGACAGGGCAGTGGAACCCAGTTCAGGTTAGAGTTATGGGACCCCAATCTGGCACACACAGGGTGTGTCTACACGAGATGCTTTATTGCCCAGTAGATTAGTTAATAATTTGTTGTCTCATGAGACTAATCTGCTGCACAGTAAAGCATCACCATCTACACATACATCTACACATACTCACTGAAATCTCCATGCAGCTCTGAGCTGGCTGGGAGTTACCCCAGAAGTGGGACCGCTCCGGGACAGCTCCTGGCTGTGAAGGGAAGCCCTGCTAGTTATGGGGCTTGTCCCCATGTACAGAAGGCCAGAAGAGCTCTGCAGCAGCATCTATTTCCCAGCCCCCCTGTACATCAGGACCCTTCCCAATGTGCACAGGGCCAAGAAACAGCTGAAAGGATAAGCAGCTGGTAATATCACCATTTCTACTAACTTTCATTTTGTACTGAATTATTTACATATGTTAGGTCAAACTCTTGGGTCCTTACTTAGTCTCTACTCACAGAACTCAGACTGATTAAAACTTTGATTGAAGTTCTCCTCAGGTCACCTTGCCTGTAACACTCACTAGCTATGCTATATCCATCTCTTTATCTTTCATAAGCAGGCTTAACTGCTACTCTGAGATGAACCTAGAAGAGAAAAAAAGAGAGACCTGAATGAAAACTGCATGCATTGGAATAGTATCATCCATCCCCTTTTAATTGCAGCCTTGAGAATTTTTTATTTTCTGTGAATACTTCACTAGTGGCACAGTTAAGTTGGCATTGACAGTCTTATTTATATTGGATGTTAATTTACACCACCATGATGCTTACAAGCTTTACTCTTAAAGATGGTGTTCTTGGTTCATTACTGCTGTTTTATGAAAGCATAACTCCACATTGGAATAACAGAAGGGTGAATGAAGCCTTGCATTTTTAGGAAAATCATCACCTACTGCAGAATATATATAATGATGTCCAATCCTACTGTGATACAAGGGCAACCTGTATACAACAGCAGGACAAAGCCAACCTTGGAGACATTGCTGCATATAAGTAATGGAGAACAAGTGAAAGAGAATGGAAGCATGCTTATTTTTCAAATAGTACCCCTCTCAACTTGCTTGCAACTTTACTGTACGTTTCTCTAAGCACAACTTTGC